TTAGGACAAAAATACCATACAGTGATATACTTGCATTAAATATTAACAAATGTATGATAGCATTCATTGGTGAACCTATGCACTTAGTGAATGCACAAAATGTTACCCTTAGAAAGGAAGATATATACAACGGCAGAATTATGCATTTCCACATTTACTACTTACACTGCTCCTGCTGGCTGGACTTTAATCTGGTTTATGAAAATTCTTTATGAATTGGCATTGGCTTGCAAGACACTCAGTCTGGCTGGCAAACTATCATGGTCTCCTGTTGGGCAACTCTTCTGCTTCCCTCTCACTTTTCTGTATTAAGAAAGCAATGGCCAATACTTTTAACTTCTGTAGATAGGTCTTCTTGCACATATCTATCTTTATATGTGTGTGTATCTTCGCAAAAGTCTACACATGCATACATGTATTCTTAGCAAACTAAATATATACTGTATTAACCTTGTAAATATAACAAGGTTAAAGCATCAAAGACTAGAAATCTTTCACTCCAATCCTACCCTCCCCCAGGAAAACTCCCAGCCCTTAGGTTGTTTAGGCAATCTGAAAGATGAGGTTGTAAGTTTTTTACCTCAAATGATTGGAACATCACAGAGATGTTAAGGCTGCATTAATATAAATAATGAAGAAAATTGAAGACCCGGGAAGTTTAGGAGGAAAAGCAATCATTAACCAAAAAAATGTGGATTTTAAACCAGCACCACTTGGATTATAAAGCAGAATTTGGCTGATAAATATCAGGATAAGGTGGAGATAACTAGAGCTACCAGAACATATGAGAACTAATACTAAGCATTGGCTTGGCTGAAGAGCTGGTCTTCCCTCTGCAAAGTGAAATTGCCTGAGGTTAGGCTGCAGCAAAGTACTCTACCTCAAATGGATAGGAGCACCCTAGCCAACATATGGAGGGAAAGTGTATTTTTGAACATGGAAGTTGCCTTCAAAAAGATTGCAAGATCAGTAGAGTGTGATGTTTATTCTTGACCACAAGGTAAAATATAAGTCTGGATTTACCTCAAACATGGATACAAACAGTGATAATTATTTAAAAATAGTGAACATTCACAAAACATTTGTTAGAGTCTGAAAAAAAAAACCTTACAATTTTAGACTGCTTAACAAGAAAATAGCCATTCACTATTGAGTTAGATAAATAGTCAAGCTAAGGATAGCATCATTTAATTAATCCATATAACTATCCAGTTACCTGCTAACATTCTTATCACCATATTGTTTAGTCATAATCAACATGGAGCTTGGAATTAACATATTTATGGATATTATCTCTACTTTGAATACTGCTGTGAAAATAGGTCTCAGTTGAGGACATGATTGTGTTGATGTAATTATATGTACCAGGTAGGTCTCAACGTACGACTGTAATTGAGCTGACAACTACAATCATAAGTCAGGCCAGTCATAAAGCAGGTCATTGCATTTTCCTTTTCCTATTTTGTCACCCTAATCATTAGACCAGTGTTTCTCAAGCTTAGCAGCTGTAAGATTTATGCGGACTTCATCTCCCAGAGTTCCTCAGTCAGCACACCTCTCACTTGTCTCCTGTTTGTTTCCTTCTTGTGTATTTCTATAACTTTTCTCCTTAGCAGGTAGAATATGCTAAATGGAAAAAATAGTTAAAGTTGCATAATGGGTTTTTTTTGTTTTGTTTTGTTTTTTTGGCAGGGATCAATAGGCGTCTTTTTGTTTGGTAACTCCCTGAATTTCATGACAATCCAAGTGTTCATTTGAAAGATCTGCCAAGAGTCAGAAGAGGGCAGTAATGTTCCTAAGAAGAAAGCCTGACTCTTTCATTAATCTTTTTAGAAACCATATTATTTCTTTCTTCCTTATACGAACTGCAGCTTCACTTTTTACTCGTCTTTTACATATCACAGATGGGAAACATGGAAACACTTGTTGCAACTACTTGTTGCAACTTGTAGTGATTACTGAAAAATCAAAAGCACCTACTTCAGTAATCATTTCCATATGCCAGGACAGGTCAATTTTATAGATATATAGATGGGATAGACAGATATAGATGGGAAATAGGAAGGCAGAAGAAAGGATGTTTTCTGATTCCTTTCTGGAGAGATTTAATTTTGCCTTATTCATGAAAAGAATGAAGTCCAAACAGAAATATTGAAATACATTGGATTGCTTTTACAGAATGTAACTGCCCCAGGTCTTCAAGTACTAGGCAGTCAGCATTTGGGAGATGCACACTATGCCAGATGCAACAGTTGACAGTCCATCTCCAAGTCCAATTAGGAGTGCTGGTTTCCATCACCAAGGCCATAAAGGTTTTGGATTTATATTATCTAAAAATATCCTCATATTTATCAGTTTCCCTGCGCTTTGCATTTTGCATGAAAGATCTTTCCTGAGATGCAATGAAATATTAACATGACAATGCAAGTACCATTTCCAAAACTTTGGAAGCCAGGATGAATTGCTGAATTAGCTGGAAAACTCAACCAGGTTACACGATGGCTACAGTTCTAATGTTAAGGAACTGCACATTAGGCTAGCAATTGCTGTACATCAAAGCACGTAATTGGAAATATATTCTATCCTTTGGAGAATTAGAAAGGTTCTGAATGGGATTATGCTCCCTTGAAAGTGGAGGAAAATGTACATATCATCAAAATCATCAGTTTTTTAAAAAATCAATTAAAAGGCAATGTTTTCAAGGACCAATTTTTAATTGTCTCATCTTGAGAATTTAATTTGCAATATTTTAAATAATTATACAGCCTACCAAAATGATACAGCTACATTTGTAATTAGGATCACTACCAACCTTTCCTGGGATAAGAATAAGCAGCATTAATAGGAATTGCAATAATAGCAGTTTCATTGTTAGCCTTACACACATTGTAGTTTGCTATCACAGCATATTTCCCCAAGCAGATTGGTTTGCATTTATAACAAAGTCTTGCCAACTATAGTATCATTTATACTGTGCTTGTTTGAAATATGTTTATCTTTGCCCAATTAGTTACTTTGCATCCTTTATTGATGCTGATTTATCCAGACCTGCTCAAATACAGAACCAAAAGCAAAATACAAAAATCTAGATTAGGCAAAAATTCTAGCACATACTCATAAACAATACCAATGCAGATAGTTTTGTTGCTCGAGAGATGCAAATAATATCCCATCCAATTGCAAAAGACGATCATGTCCTTGTCAAAGAAAGGAGGAACCACAATTGACATGGGAAAAGGATCTAACATTTTTCTCCCTGTGCATTCTTTCTTGTTCATTCTTCTCTGATGGCATTACCACAAATAGGACTCATCGTCTAGTCAACTAACTAGATCACTGCCCAATAAGCATCACTTTGAGGGGATCCTTCAAGTGACACATATTTGTGGTGGTCAGAATAGCTATCTTTCCAGTCCAACACTCAGGCCATTGTTAGCACTGATGATGTTGCCTAGTTTGATAATGAAACCTCTGCAAGAAAATCACCAAGCCTCATGTTATAATGCATCTCTCTGTCTCTGATCCCAGAATGACATGCATAGAGGCTGGCCCTCTTCTCTTGAGAGCTGTGTGCCTAAGCAAAATGACAGATTATGAGCATTTCCCAATGCCTCCTGGTCTGCTGCTCAAAGGGGTTGCTTAATTGTGCTGCCCACCTTTAAACTTTTGGAATGGGGCTCATTAATTCTGATGAATTAGATATTAGAATTATTATTTAGAATTAGAACTTACTTATTTAAAATGAATTTATTTACTTTATTTATTTAATTTTACTTATTTAGATGGTAGAATTAGAATTTGTGTCACTAAAACAAATAAGATTGTTTTGGAATAAGCAAGTCTGAGAAAATAAACTTTTGAAAAGTGTAGAGTTTAAACCTGTACAAAACAAATATCACAGTACAGACAGGTTGCAATTAGTGTGAATTCAAGTAGCGCAATATTTGATTTTGTGCAAATTATAACTTGATACCAGGTCCTATCCAAGGTGAGCCAAAATTCAGTTTATGTCAGGCTAGTGCACGAGCAGTTAAGACTAGTTCCTGCACAGTTGATGAGTTATAGACATTACTCATTGTGTGCGCAGAATGGAGAAAAGGAAAATTCCATTTGAGTAAAACTTAAAACAGAGAAGCCTAATTTTGAAAGGACTACAACAGAATACAGGAAAATTAGGTGTGCTTTGGATATGGTTTTATCCTCCAGCTTGTCCTCTGTTCACTTGATTTATTTTAAATATTTATGAGCTCTATTTATCTAGAAAATGGGCAGGAGTAGTATTTAGAAATATTTTGTTTGGTTTGGTTTTCTTTAACTATGCTGTGACATTGTTAAAAATAAATTTAAGTTGTTAGTATATTCTTTAATTCTGTTATATTTCATTAATAAATGTTTAAATATTTATGTTTAAAAATGTTCATTTCCTACTTTCATCAATTACTAAATTTCCCCTATGTTTCATAGAAAGGTCATTTTCAATAGTGTGAATTCGAATAATGCTACTATTTTATGGGATTCATTATCAGCACTAATCTAGACATAGTTGTATCTAAATGACATGTCAATCATATAATAATAATGATAAAGTTGGAAGGGACTTTGGAGGTCATCTAGTCCAACCCCCTGCTCAAGTCAACCCTATACCATTTTGGACAAATGGCTGTCCAGTTTTTTCTTAAAAACTTCCAGTGTTGGAACATTCACCGCTTCTGGAGGCAGGTTGTTCCACTGGTTAATTGTTCTAACTATCAGGAAGTTTCTCCTTAGTTCTAGGTTGCTTCTCTCCTTGATTAGTTTCCATCCGTTGCTTCTTGTCCTCCCTTCAGGCGCTTTGGAAAATAGCTTGACTCCCTCTTCTTTGTGGCAGCCCCTGAGATATTGGAACACAGCTATCATGTCCCCCCTCGTCCTTCTCTTCGTTAAACTAGACATACTCAATTCCAGCAACCGTTCCTTATGTTTTAGCCTCCAGTCCCCTAATCATCTTTGTTGCTCTTCTCTATACTCTTTCTAGAGTCTCAACATCTTTTTTACATCGTGGTGACCAAAAGTGGATGCAGTATTCCAAGTGTGGCCTTACCAAGGCATTATAAAGTAGTATTAATACTTCAGGTGATCTATCAAGGTGCAAATAGCACAAGCATGTAATTATGTCATGACATCTGGCATAAGCATGTAAGTTGTGTCATTTGTGCCATAATATCACCATCCCGCCAGCACCCATGTTAAAAAAAATCTTCCTCATTTTCTGAAGGGTAAAGGGAAGCAAATGATACAACTGATGTATATTCCATAATTCATGCAATTTGTGTGAGGACAAAATGATGCACAGGGCATCATTTCGGCTTGTATGAGACAATTATGTAAATTATATTCATTTTGTGTGCTTTCAAGGCATCCAAAGTCAACTGCACAATAGTTGCTTTACTCTTATATAACGGTAGAACTATAAGAAAGTTGAATTAACCTGTGCTAAGAAAGATTGTTATGAGGCTATACATACTTCAGCAGTTCCTGGAAGAATGCTTTCAAGAAATATTAGTCTAATGACAACCAATAAACTGTGAGCTGAAGCTTAGAGCATATACTTCAATTAAAAATGGAGTAAAAATCTGACTTTCTAACAATGTGCCTTCAGTACCAACGTTTGAAATATAATAAATGTTATGCTGCTAGCTATTCTGAGATAAACAGTTGAAAATGTAATTGGGAGGGCAGCAATTATTAAATGTTTTCATAATGTCTCCTTAGATAAAATATGTCAGAATAATCAATTGTTTAGCATGGAAATGTTAGCTGAATTAGTTCAGAATTAATTACTCACATTTAACAAAAATCCTTACCAAAACCATTAATGTGCAATTCAATTAAAACCTATTTTTAGTCTGGCGAAAAGTCAGAATCCTAAAAGTTCTTAAGAGTTTTCCTGGGGTGATCTGAAGTATCTCAGATGTCTGAAAACTCCATGAATGTTCACTTACGTTGCTTAGATTGTTTTTTCTTTCATAATTCTGTAGTCTTCATCTGATACCTCTTATTCAGCATGTCAATGAGAAAAGTTCACCTTACTGAATTTCTATCCATTCTATCTTTTGGAACAAATAGTATTTTCTAGTCTCTATAACTTTTAAAATAACAATCCAATGCATTTTGGTGTATCTGCAATTAAGTAGAGAAAAGCCGTCTCCTTCAAGCCAGGTTCTGCTCCTACTGACTTCATAGATGCCACCACGTGGTTTTCTTGGCAGTGGTATGGAATTAATGCTTCTTCAACTTCTGACTGAACATCCTGCATTAGCATTCATTTAGTTTCCGAGTCCATAGAAGGTCAGCCAGCATGTCCCCAAACATATCTAAAATTAAATGAGCATATAGGCATTCTTCCTTATGTAAGCATAACCCCAAATAAATATTTTATTATGCCTATTACATTTATGTAAGTGTAGTTAGATTTCCACCAGGATGTCTCTTTATATTTAGGTCTATATTAGACTTCCCAATCTATCCTGCAGAACTGATGTTTTCTAGTGCTATCTTACCAACTAAGCAGCCTTTTTCAAGAGATTGGCTTGGTGTGGCCATCTAATTGGATTGAATAAAATTATATATTTTCAAAGGACTAGGGCTATTAGAACAGATCAATAAGCCGAGAATGCTTGGAAGAATTGGTCATATTAATACATGAACCTTTATATATTTTAACTGGATGTTTGCAAAGGCTCCTAAACAACCACTGCTGGACATTCTTCCACTATATATGCTCCCATATTTTGAAAATGAATACTATAAATTACAAATATGACACTTTTATAAAAAGATACACAGTTACCATGTAATAAAACGGAACATCTTTCTCCTGTTGAGCCCCCTGCCTAGTCCGTGTAGTTTTCTTGACAACAGAAAAGCAATCCAGGAATAATACAGTTTGCCATTGTCTTCTTCTGGTGTATTTTCCAGATTTTTCAATCATTTATGCCCCATGGGTTTTGAAATTCGAATACAGACGGTCCTGTTATTTGGCTGCAGGCCAGGTATATTGCTTTTATGCATCGGGTTCTGGTTATTTCAGCATGACACTGTTGTCACAGTCTTTCCAAATCATTTTAAACTTGAGCTTTCTAGTTGTCTTCTCTCTTGCTGATCAAGGAATGCTGAAAATCCAATGAGCCACTAAGTTCTTTTCTCCAGTTGACCAGGTTCATAAAACTGCAATTCAGTCAATGCCACACCCAGGCTACTCACAAGCCTTGGCACTACAAAGCATCCCTTCCCATTTGTTTCTTTTCTGCAAAAGAAGAAAAATAAAATAAATTCTAAATCTAACATGCTTCCAGTAAAGATGTGCAAAACATTTTATGATCAAAATATTGCAATCCCAGGCTAGATTATTTCAACCTTATAGAATGTGTTTCAATGTCAGAATAGCTTATTCAATTTTACCAGTAATGTTCTAATCTGAAAATGGCTAATAATTATGGGTTCAGGTCATTTCAACAGGTCAATTTCCCTAATCTCTGATTTTCAATACATGTTGTGTGCATTCACCTGATCATTAAATAACAGCAGCATTATCAACAATAGTAAACATAATAAGAATGGAGTTTTTGTAACAGGATGAAGCTGCACAGCTACCAAGTTATCATTCCTCCTGTATTAAGAATTCCTTTGAGAACTGCAAAGGTGAGTGAAATTACATCTTTCATTTTGCAACAGCATGCTTTCTCCGATGCTTCTCGCAGATGTAAACAACCACCTGTGACTAAAAAAAGAAAGAGGAGATAATTAATTCTAAACTTCCAAGCCATAGAGACTTGAATTAATTGTAATGGCATTTCCATATACTACTGTTTGCACTCCAGTGGTATAACCAAAACTTCTCCTCTTCCCATTGCACATCAAAGGTAAATAAAATAAAATAAAGCAGTCTTGTACTTTGTGTATGTTGGTACCCAAGGAAGTAATCAGCATAATTCTTCTTAATTTCATCCCAGTAACTCAAGATAATATTCCTTTAAAAAGACCTTCTAGGTTGGCTGAAGGTATGAGAATTTGGTTCAGTGGGAAATAGCCCTCTCCGATGTGGTGCAGTGCTTCACTGAAAAGGAAAAACAGGCATTATTTTGTGCAATTTTGATGATAACTGGCCTGGCTGCTAGGTAATCAAATAATATACCAAATTCAAATGAGCTTATAGCAGCACAGAACTTGAGAGTACCCCTTAAATTGTAGCTATGTCTTTCCAGCTTTCTTTTCCTGTGACATTTACACATCTAGAGGACTTCTGTGAGAAACATTCTCAGCATCCCAAGGATAGTATCACTTGGACCCACTCAGAGTTGGAAACAGATGGGCAAAATGACTGAGTTAATAGCTGGTAATACTGTATTATCCAGGATGACTTTGAGCTGATTATTTCTGAGGCACTAAAACAAAACCATCTCAAAATCATTATTGATAATATCACTATATGTAGTGTAAATCCTTGCTTTTTTTTTATGAAAGCCTCCTGGGAGGTGACAAGTGGTTAGGCTAAGTCAGTGGTGTGAATACATACTTGGGTGTGTGGATGTTGTCATCTGCCCTGAAGAAGGCAGTAGTGGCTCCCTTTCTCAAGCAACTATTGCTTGACCCAAGAACACTGGATAATTATCAACAAACTCCCATTTGAATTTATAGAAAAAATGGCAGACTGCTTAACATCAAAGTGAAACCAATGGAGATGGATATTTATCAACATAGGAACAGAAATCAGGTTTAGTTATAGTGGCAGTTCTTGAGTCCACTATTGTCATTTTAGTCTAAATGTTTTTTTTGTCAGAACTACCATATTTGGGCTCCAAAATTTGGATTGCCATTTGAAGCAACAGGAAGTGTTAGGTGGTTGTTCTTCTTTCCTGCTATCTAGTTGTCATCCAGATTTTTGCATTCCCAGTAAGGTAGCCTTACCCGAGACATGTCAAACTCATGACGTCACGTGACATCACAAGACATATCGGGACTATTTTGCCATTACCGGCAATGGGGTGGGTGTGGCTCTGGTATGATGAAACCGGCCCGTGGGCCGGCAGTTTTGACACCCCGCCTTAGCCCCTATGGGAACTACCATATGCGCTTTTCACAGATAGGGATAGCCTAAGTCTGTTTCCCAACCTTTGGGATTGGAGCTATTAGAATTGCAGTTAACTTGCAGTCCTCCACTTACCTGGAGGAAAACTGATTAGAAAATGTTTGGTCTAAGCATTGAAGTACTTGTTTATCATTAACATATTTAATCTGCCACATGTTTTACATGGGAATACCTGGTACTTGATCCAAAAATTGTAACTGACGCAGGAATCAAGATGTTTGGTAGAGTGCCTGGTTCTTCACACATTACACACAGCTGAGAAAGTAATGCTACTGAAATATATTGGTAACTACTGCTACTCAGATGTACTCTTAAGCACCCATAAGGCAAATGTAACACCTTTTTTAATCAGGCTTTATAGCAGATGTTTATGGCAATGTTCAAGAATATGCATATTGCTTTGAGATATAAATCCTGATCCAGGAAGCAGTACTAAAAATACTTAAATAAATACAACTAAATACATCTAAAGAGGGATGTTAGGAATAGTAATCTAGTAGAGACCAAAAATCACCATTATGTTTTTTTTTACTTTTGTGGTGTAAGCTGTCAGAATCATCAGGGAGTTAAATGGCCTTTAAATTTAGTAAATGAATGTCAGAAAGAAAATTGAACAGCTTGTTCCAATCCTTTCAAGTTATCCCTTTGATTTCAGTTTCAAATTTTATTTTAATTATTTATTCTTTCATTCGATTTTGGCGCGACCCAACTCTGAACCCAGCCCAGCTCTGCAATCTTGCTTATACTCTCCGCTCAAAATACTGAGTCCTTTGGATTTATTCCAAAGTAAGTTTGGTATAGCAGTCCATTTTCTGACAATTAAATTCGCTGATTCAAAGAACTTTCCCCAGGAACGCTGCAACATCAAAACGCTAGTATTTTTTAAGGAAAGGGGAAAAAGAAACAATAAATATGAACCACTTCTCCGACGTTAGAGAAGCCGTCGCATTAACGGCGTGCGTGCAGCCATCTTCTCTTTTTAATAAGGCTTTCTTATTCTCCCTTTAAACACCTTGGAGTGCAAGAGTCATAAATCTACCTAAATCGCTATTTGTAGCATTCCATCCCAGGCCGGCCTCGTCGGTTTCCATGACAACAAAATTCCTTTCCCACCCTTTCTCTACGTTCCATTCAAGTTCAGGCAGCAACTCAGTCTCCTTCCTCACGTGACCAGTATCCCGGCTTCCGTCGCCGCTTCCGGGTGGGTGTGGGCGCTTACTCTTGTCCGGCCCTAAGGCGGTGAAAGGGAGCGGGGCGGGGGGAGGAGGAGGAGGAGGAAAGGAGGAGGTTCCCCTCAACATGGCGCCGCGCAGAGCGGGTGGCGGCAACAGTAAAGCGACCGGGAGTAGCGCTTGAACCCGAGCTGAAAGAGACGCCATGGAAAGCGAGGAAGAACAACACACGACCACGCTGCTTTGCATGGGGTTTCCGGATGCAGCCGCCATCCGAAGGGCCCTCCGCTTGGCCAAGAACGACATCAACGAGGCCGTGGCGCTGCTCACCAACGAGCGGCCCGGTCTGCACTATGAGCCCATGGACAGCAGCGGCGGCGGCGGCGAGACCAGCGGACAGGGAGGCCCCCAGCAAAGCGGCGGCTCGCGCGGTGGAGGAGATGGCGACAGCAGCGGCGGCGTGAACGGTGGGGGCGGCAGTGGCACCAGCGGCTTCGACCCACCCCCTGCCTACCATGAGGTGGTGGAAAACGAGGTAAGGGGTCGCTGTCGGGAGGGAGGGGCAAGCGGGGGAGCGAGCCGGGGATCTGGTCGGATCCTATGCCGGAACAATTCGGTGACAGGCGTTCAGGCATGGCCCACCCGCAGCGGTGCTCTGAGTGAGACCGCGGCCGCTCGGCTTTTGCCGCTTGCTCTCGCAGGGCTGGAAGGCTGAAAACAATAATATGAGCATTGCTCGGGAATCCCGCCTCCCTCCTTGAGAGTCCTCAAGCGCTGGTAGTCTCAGCTTTTCAATCAGAATCGAGCTGGAAGGGGGACCTTGGAGGTCTTCTAGTCAAGCCGGAGACTCTATACCATTTCAGACAGGTGGCTGCCTAGCCTTTTCTTAAAAACCTCTTTTTCTCCTCCCTGGGGGCTCCCCCTTGTTGCTTTTTTTCCCGGCCATTCGTGGGATTCAAAAAAGATTCCAGTGTTGAGATCTTTTTGAATCCCACACACGGCCGTGAAGAAGGGGGGGGGAGCTCCTTTTTCCAATTCCCCGTGGACTTGATCCCCCAGTCGCAACTAAGCAGGCTGTCAGATGACTAAAGGAGTATTAAACCGCTTGGTAGCTAGTCTTGTGCATGTGTCCTTGTTTGGCACGGAAGCCTGTAGCCTCAAGCCTAGGAAAAGCAGCTTCAGTGCAAAGTCCTGTTTGGGCTGTAATAGTGAAAGTTGATGAGTTGTGACTTCTCTTTGTCACCCAGTGGAAACTGAAACATAGATTCGTTTAAAAAAAAAAAATGCTGATATTGTATGTTGTTGTTGTTGTTGTTTTGCATTGCTTAACCAAGGGACTTTCCTCCAATCCTTCTCCTGTTAGTAATTTCAATGGCTTTGTTTTAATGCTGTAGTAATAACTTTTATTACACTGTCCTGTTTTTTTTATAATTGCTGGATTTTTGTGTTACAAATGGAACATAAGAGCAGAAGGAATTGCAGACCGGCATGGGGCTCATAAAAAAAAAACAAGCTTAGTTATTCTGGTCTGTGAAGAAAATATTATGACACCTGTAATAGTATATCTGTATTAGTATCTGCAAAACTGCCAAAAATGAGTTTGTGAGCTTTCAGATTCTTCCTGAAAGAACCTGAGGTAGTACAAAAATACGGATATGGGGTAAAAACCAGAAGGGCCCCATTTTAAGTTAGATGTGACCGAGAAACCTTATGTTTATAAAGTTTATAAATTTTATGAATTAACCTTTAATAAATGCCGTAATTACGTACCTAGATTCTTAAAACAGCAAAAACAAAAAAGTACTATTTGGCCTGATGTCATATTTCTCTTTTCATTCTTTTTTGCCTAACTATAATTACTGGAATTTTGTTTAGAAAACACCAGATTCTCTAATGTTTTCAAAAATTTATGGTCAGTCATGACTGCTTTTATCCTGTGGGTAGTATGTGTAATCTGATACCTTCAGGACTTACTAGCCTACTGTTTCATTTAGTTTACAGTCTCTATTTTCTCAATGACTCATCTTCCAAAAAATACCACTTGGTCCTCTTTAGGCATGATTTTGTCCCAAAAAGCTCAGGTGAACCTGGAATTTTACTTTATAGTCACAAGTCATTATGGTCATTAAGCAAGGTGACCACATAATTGTCTCATTTAATAACCTCCACCTCTGCTCTCCCTAGTATATTTGTTAAGCAAAGCATAGGATGCCCAAGGCCTGCAGGGACTGGATGGGGGGAGATAAGGGGGTCTGCAGTGTCTTTGTGATCAAATTGTAAGAGCAAATGACTGGGAGAGGGGTGGCAGTGGCTATAAATTTGAAGCCAACTTGTATATGGCTTTTGGGCCAATGAATCTTGCAGAATTGAGATTTGACAAATGTTGTGAAACATTTATAGATAAAAATTATCATAAAACATTTTATGACAATACAAATATGTCATAAAACATTTTCTATGGTTACTCCTGATTTTTGACTGTTAGTCTAAAGTTCAGCATGGACTATTTTCAAGGCAAATACATCTCTGAATATCCCCCTGAATTTTTAAGAACTTTTCCAATGCATTAGAATCTCTGCCAGTGTTGAAGCATTGAGGAATCTGGTAAGGAAATTCTCTGGGACAGTAACTCAACAGGTCATGGGTTGTCTAGTATATTCTATATTCTACTTATCAGCTCCGGGACCAAAGGCATTGTTCTAGTCAATAAAAGTAGGGTAAATATCTTTCTTACATGTTTTTGCTGCTTCCATCATCTATATTGTATAACTCTCTGCCTTTTTATCAAACATATCTGTTCCAATGCATGATGATAATCTGGGAAAACTCTTAAGTAAAACTTGAGAAATAGTGCATCAGTTTATTAACATACATTTTTTTGCATCTCCCCTCAGAATAAGTATAAACGCTTATATTTTTTTCATTTCCAGGCCATGCTGTCTTGATCCTTTCTGCTGAGTCAGAATTGTTAGCTCTTTGACTACTTTTTCCTGTAACTTTAAGCAGTTCAATGAGGATTTCACATGTCTTATCCTTTCCAATGTGTCAGATGGTCTATTGTCTATCATATCTTACATTCCAGTAAGATACAATGTTACCAGAAATTTTACAAACTCTAGAACTTTGTATAACTTGCAATACTATAACTATGGGATCTGAGCTTCATCTACATTTTACTAACTGGCAAAGAAGTATTGGTTAAATAAACAACACACAAAACTGTGTCATGTATTTATTGACTAGGTTGAGCCAACAATATCTAGTGTCTTTATTTGAAAAGGATACAAAATGTTAAATTTAGTAATTGTAGAATTTCTTCAACTCATGGTAGTCTTTGGCTGTCTTGCATATACTGCCTGGATGGCAGTTGGGACTGCCAGAATTGCCATCATAATTCAGTGCAGTCACATGACATTACACCTTTCAACTGCATTCTTAGTGATGGAATTCCTGGTCCCAATTGCCATTATTAAATGAGGACTATCTGTGATAATTTCCAATCATAAAATCACATCAACAGAACTTGCCTAATCTCCTGGCCCAAATACCTGGGTTTCGGAGCTTTATGAAAGGCCAACAGGAACAGGGAAATTCAGATCTCTGGGTGGTTCCTGTTCTGCAATGCAGATATAGTAACAGAGAAGGCATGACTCCTGGATCCAGTGAGATGACACCATTTATGGGAGGAGACCTAGAGCATGCCCTTTCTGCTAGATCTGGTAGGTGAACAAAAACAATGGGAGAAAGGCGGTTCCTTCAAGTTGCCTGGCCTTATGCTATCTGGGATTTACAGGTAACAACCAGCAAATTAAATTGTACCTAACAGCCTACTAGGAGCCAGTACAGCTCATGGAGCAGTGGTGTTACATGAGTGTAACAACACCAAAAACTGCCCATGCCACTGCATTCTGGACCAGCTGCAGTTTCCAAATGCTATTCAAGAGCAAATCCTATAGAGCACATTACAGCAATCTAAACAAATGCATCACTTACAGTAATATGAACAAGGCGGTTTAGGTGGACCTCCAAATTTTACACCAATTTTAACTGGGGCCTCATGCCAACAGATAACCTTGTCCAGTGTTTTCATGTAGATGTTAAATAGGAAAGAAAAGCCTCTGGCTTGACCTCTTCCCTTAACAATACTAAAGTGGAACCAGCCTTGAAGAAAGAAAATGGTGCCTTCCAATCCCCTAGACAGGGCCAAAAGGATACCATGATCAAAGGCCACTGAGAGATCATGAAAGTCTAGGATGGATGTACTAACTCCATCCCAAGCCCACCAGAATCATCCAAAAGCACAAGCAGTGCCATCTCAGTGCTATCACTGGGGCTGAATCCGGTTTAAAACCGATTGCTTGGCTATATGCCATTATGTGTTTTTAATCTCCTAGCAACTTGATATTTATTTATTTAGCATATGGCATACAAGGCCAGGGAGGCTACAATGTTATGCATACAGTAGAAGTCCTGGCAGCTAACAGTCGCTAATCCATTTGTTGCATAGATGCACCACAAGAGGACGAACTAGCTTTACACTGGCTGGCCTCAGAGGAAGTCGGCTCATCCAGGACTTTCCTCCTTGGCCGATCACGCCTAGGCAAATGTAGCACCAGTTTCAGCTCCCGACATAGAATGCAGCTAGCAGTGTCCCATCACCTAAATTCCAGTACCTATCTATCTACTTGCAAACAATGCTTTCAAACTGCTAAGTGGGCAGGAGCTATGGACAAGAGACAGGAGCTCACCCTGTTTGGCGGAGCTGGACTCGAACCACCAGAGTGTTGGCAATTGCTCAGCGCATCCAGCGTCATTAAGCCTCTGTGCCACCGTGTCCCCTACTAGATAGATAGGCAGACCCTGTCTAAAAAAGGTCCAGATAATCTGCTTCTTCAAAGACCTTCTGGAAGTATAAGACAGCAACCTTCCCTAAAAAGGAAAAAATATCTAGATTTGTTGAGTCCAAGTGATGATCTCTTATGGATATGGGTAGTATATAAA